AAACCAATCATATGGTCTACTGTGCCGGGAATGACAAATTGAAGAGGAATGACATTGCATTCATTGACAAAAAGAACATTTCAAGATCTGTCCTGAAGTACAGTGCTATCAGTAATAGGATAATATCCATATGCCTACAAGGAAGACCAGTTAATAGGATCATTAATGACATTTACACACCAACTACTAAAGCCAACAATGAAGAAATTGAAGATTTTTACCAACTTCTCCATTCAGAAATAGACCACATATGCAGTCAAGATGTTAATTACTGATGATTAGAATGCAAAAGTTGGAAACAAGCCATATCAATAGTTGGAAAATAAAGCCTTGGTAATAGAAATGATGGAGAAAGCATAATGGAATTTTGCAAGACCAATGATTTATCATTACAAATACCTTTTTCAACAACATAAATAGCAACTATACTTGTGGACCTTGCCAGATGGAACATAGAGGAATCAAATTAACTACATCTGTGGAAAGAGACAATGGAGAAGCTTAGTATCATCAGTCAGAAGAAAGGCCAGGGGCCCACTGTGAACAGACCATCAACTGCTCATAAGCAAGTTTTAACTTTAAGCTGAAAAAAATTAAAACAAGTCCACGAGAGCCAAAATATGACCTTGAGTATGTCCCACCTGAATTTAGAAGTCATCTGAAGAATAAATTTGATGCATTGAACATCAGTGACCAAAGACAGGATGAGTTGTGGGATGACATCAAGAACATCATACATAATGAAAGCAAGAGGTCATTAAAAAGAGAAGGAAGAAAGACAAGACCAAAATGGATTGTCAGAAAACACTCTGAGACTTGCTCTTGAGTGGAGAGTAGTAAAAGTGAATGGAAGAAATGAAGTAAAAGCTCTGAACAGAAAATTTCAGAGAACAGCTCAAGAAGACAGAGTAAAATGTTACAACAAAATGTGCAAAGACTTGGAGTTAGAAAGTTAAAAGGGAAGAACACTCATAGCATTTCTCATGTTGAAAGAACTGAAGAAAAAATTTAAGCCTCAAGTTGCAATATTGAAGGATTCTAGGGGCAAACTACTGAATGATGCAGAAATTGTCTAAAGAAGATGAATACACAGAGTCACTGTACCAAAAAGAATTGGTCCACATTGAACCATTTCAGGAGGTAGCATATGATCAAGAACCAGTGGTGCTGAAGGAAGAAGTCTAAGCTGCAATGAAGGAATTGGCAAAAAGGTCCAGGAATTGACAGAATACCCATTGAGATATTTCAACAAATAAATGAATGCAGTGTTGGAGCCTTATGCCAAGAAATTTAGAAGACAGCTACCAGGCCAGCCAACTAGATGAGATCCATATATGTGCCCATTCCAAAGGTGATTCCAACAGAATGCAGAAAATATCAGACAATATCATTAATAACCATCACATACAAATACAATTTTCCTGAAGATAATTCAAAAACAGTTGCTGCGGTATATTGTCAGGCACCTACCAGAAATTCAAGCCCAGATTCAGAAGAGGTAAAATGAGTATTATCATTGCTGAGTCAGATGGATCTTGGCTAAAAGCAAAGAATTCCAGAAGGATGTTTACCTGTATTTTGTTGACTATGCAAAGGCATTCAACTGTTTGAATCATAACAAATTATTGGATAAAATTGTTAAGAATGGGAATTCCAGGACACTTAATTGTGCTCATGAGGAACCTGGTCATAGACCAAAAAGCAGTCTTGGGAAGAGAACAAGGGGATACTGAATGGTTTAAAATCTGGAAGGGTGTGCATCAGGGTTGTATCCTTTTACCATACTTACTCAGTCTGTGTGCTCAATAAATCTGAGAAGCCGGACTATATGAAGAAGAACATGGCATCAGGATTGGAGGAGGACACATTAACAACCTCCAATATGCAGATGACATAACCTTGCTTGCTGAAAGTGAAGAAGACTTGAAGCACTTACTGATGAAGATAAAAGACTATATAGCCTTCAGTATGAATTGTACCTGAACATAAAACTGAAATCCTCACAACTGGACCAATAAGCAGCAGCATGATAAACGGAGAGAAGATGGAAGTTGTCAGGGATTTCATTTTACTCTGATCCACAGTCAACGACCAAGAAATCAAAGGATGTATTGTGTTGGGCAAATATGCTATAAAAGACCTCTTTAAAGTGTTTAAGAACAAAGATGTCACTTTGAAGATTAAGGTGCGCCTAACCCAAACCATAGTAGTTTCAGTAGCCTCATATGCATTTGAGTGCTGCACGATGAATAAGGAAGACCAGGAAAGAATTGATGCATTTGAATTGTGGTGTTGGCAAAGAATATTGAATATACCGTGGGCTACTTACTATAGGGTGAACAAATCTATCCTGGAACAGTGCAGCTGGAATGTTCCTTAGAAGTAAGAATGGCCAGATTTCATCTCTCGTACTTGGTCATGTTAGCAGGGAGGACTAGTCCTAGAGAAGAATATCTTGCTTGGTAAGTATAGAGTCAGCAAAAAGGGAAGATCCTCAATGAGATGGATTGACACAGTGGCTAATGGATTGACACAGTGGCTGCATTGATGGGCTCAAGCATAGCAACAATCGTGAGGATGGCTCAGGATTGGACAGTGTTTCATGGTTTTGTAGGGTCTCTGAGTTGGAACTGTCTGGGCAGCACATAACAACAAAAAAACTTTTTAACTCATAACATTGAGGAAATGTGTGTTTTGGTGAAGTGCTGGTAATGTCTACATATTACATACCTTAAGGCTCCCTTCTGAGTGATAGTGTAATAAATTCTAAACTTGTACTGTATGTGAACTTTATATGAGTTATGTGTGTAAGCAATAGGTGAAATTTTTTATAGTTTCTTACGACAACTGCTACAGCAATACACTTACATATCCTAAACTACTCTTAACACTTCCAAAGTCTTGACCTCTTTCATATGAACCTTTTCTCTCTCCAGTATGCCTGCTATGCTATTGGTAAGGATGTACAGGCCATGAAAGCTGTAGTTGGAGAAGAAGCCCTTACCTCAGATGATCTTCTTTACTTGGAATTTCTGCAAAAGTTTGAAAGGAACTTCATTGCTCAGGGTAAGGTGCTTTATCTTTTTACAAACATAAACAGCTTCATATGCAATTTTAAAGATTCTTTCCCAGTCTGAGAGAACTTGGGTTAGTCTCTACTCAGTTTTACTTCTGGTTAGAGAAGAAGTTCTTTTAGCCTTCCTGTTCTCGCAGGATCTGTCAGCCTTTCAAACATCTTAGAAAAATCTTAACTTGATTATCCAGTTAGTTATCTACCATCTTACTGTTTTCCTTCCTTCATTGTCAGACTTCTTAACACTGGCCTCCTACTGTGCTACCTCCAGGGACTTGTCAGTGCCACCTCTCTTACATCATAAATAATCTCCCTGAAATGACCTCCTCTGGATTTGGGGATTTGGGACACTTCTGAATCATCTTCTGTTTTCATCTCCTTTTCTACTTTCTTCTTTTCCTGTCCCTTAATTAATTGTTAATGAACCAGACGGCTCAGTGACCCATTCCTTATGTGCTTTTTTCCCCTAATACCAGCTTTTTCCCTACTTATTGACTGTAATTTGCTGTTTATGGGCCTAACATTCTTCCTGAAGCTCTGATCCCACATCTCGAAGTGCCTTAGGGGATACCTTTTTTGTTCATGCCACTGTGCCCTCAGGTTCAACATGTTGTTGCTACGTGCCATCAAGTCAGCCCCAACTCATAGCGACCCCCCGAGGCAGTATCACTAGGAAGTAGGTTGCCCCATCTTCCTTCTGAGGAGTGGCTAGTGGGTGTGAACCACCAGCCTTCTGGTTAGCAGTCAGGTGCCTTAGGCACTATGCTACCAGAGCTCCCCAGGTTCAACATGGTCAGAACCAAAGTTTTTTCCAAGCTGACTTCTTGTCTAGCAATTCCCTTCTGAATTTCTACCTACCTTTGGCATGACCATTGCCTTAGGTAACCAAGTTTTGTAATTTGACATTATTTTTAACCTTCATTTATTATTCCCTGTTGTTGTTATGTGCAGTCGGATGATCAATTATTTGCTAATTTATATTGTCTTCCTTTACCCTGTTCTGTTTTCCTTCATGTTATAATACCTGAGTCCATTGTTTTCGAAACTTTAGTATGCTCTCTGTAATTGAGAAGTAACTGTTAAAATGCATATTGTGATGATCTGGATGGAGCCAGAGATTCTGTATTTCTCCAAGCTCCCAGGAGATGCCAAAGCTGCTGGTCTCTGATCACTCTTTGAGTGGAACAACACTCTGAATTTAAGGCCCTAGTCCATGGTTTCCTCCCATTATCTTTGGGCTTTAGTATTACCTTTTTCACCAGTCTCTGACTCCCTATATGCCATTGTCAGATTAAATCCATTACTAATTTTATCAGTTATCCCTTTACTGGAAAAAAAAAAATTAAACTATAGTGTTTTTTTATTTTAATTATATATTGTATATAGAATTTTCAAGCTATTTAGGTTGGTCTCTTCCCTGCCACTCTGTCTCTGTTCCTCAACTAAGTAATCAGAGAGGCAAAGTCATGGGTTCACTTCTCACAGAAGAGCTTCATTTTTATTTTTTTAAGTTTGAGGTTCTACCTAAAAAGAAAGTCATGTATTTTTGAGAGTTTAATATTAATTTGAAATTTTATTTTGTAAATAGAAAAGTGCACCAATACTAAGTGTACAGCTTGATGCATTCTTCTAAAATAAACACACCTGCTGTAACCACCACTGAGGTCAAGAATAGAATATTACTAATTTAGTTCTAATGAATCCCACTTCTGATGCCAGCTGCATTGTGTGGGAATCTCAAAATCCCACTATTCAATCCTCAACTATGAGGATGTAACAGCTTCCTGTTTTTCACTTCTCTGTTCAGTTTTCACATCAGCCATCCATGTGGCACTTCTTTCACTGACCCTAGCTCCCGAGAGCTAGATCAGACATCATTCTTCAGACTGCAGAATAGGCAAATGACGGCCACAGGTTTGGGGGTCCATATAACACCCTAACTTCTGATCCATTGGCTGCAAATTCAGGGCTTTCACCCTATCACCGTACCCTTTAAGGATGTCAGCCTCAAGCTTGGGAATCCCCCCCTAAGCTCCCTCACTTCTGACCTGCTGTCTCCCACTCCTGACCTGCTGTCTCCCACTCCTTTGGGATCGATAATTTGATGGAACAACTCAGAGAACTCAAGGAAAGTGCTATACTTAATGAGTATAGTTGCATTGTAGTAAAAAAGGATATAAACAAAGAAACATCTAGGATGAGGTCTGGAAGGGTTCCCAATGAAGAGCTTCCATGTCTGAGCAGTCACATTACCCTCCTACATACATGGATGTCTTTCACCAACCAGAAAATCATAGAACTTCCATGTCTACAGCCTTTATTGGCTTCATCACGTAGTCATGATTGAGACTTCATTGCATAGGTATGATTGACTGAATCATGCTCTTCTCCCTCCCTGGGGTCAGCTGATAAAAAGCTGCCAGGTGGTATCTGTGGCCTGGGTAGTCCCATAGTCATTTGCATAAAACCTCAGATGTTTGGATAACAAAACCAAAAACCAAACTCACTGCCATTGAGTCGGATCCAACTCATAGCAACCCCTCCTTGGGTTTCTGAGGCGGTATCTCTACAGAAGTAGATTGCCCAACCTTCCTTCTGAGGAGTGGCTGGTAGGTTTGAACTGCCAGCCTTCTGGTTAGCAGTCAAATGCCTTAGGCACTACGCCACCAGGGCTCCTTTGGATAACAAAGGCACCTCCAATATGCAACAGATTCCAAAGGTTTAGAGTTATCTCACGAATCCCTGAGAGCATAAAGTTAAGCATGGCTGCTAATGGAGAGGTTGGCAGGTAGACCCAGCAGCTCTGTAGGAAAGAGATCTGGTGATCTGCTTCCATAAAGATTACAGCCAAGAAAACCCTATGGGGCAGATCTACTCTGGCACATGGGTCACTATGAGTCAGGATCAACTTGACAGCACCCAACTGCAAGAGTAATTGCTCAATAAACAAGGGCAAATATCAAATTACTTTGGATAAAGTTAAATTCTTCTTCCTACTACTAGCAATTCAGATAGTGCACTTATATCTCACTTGTAAGATGTATGTGAGAAATGAGGATGATTCTCCTATTTAAAAATAATAATAACAACTTTGAAAACCACTGACTTGTGCATGCATTCAGTTGCTCCATCAACATGTATGCTTTCCTAAGCATCTGTAGTGGTCTTCCTCAAATACAGCCTTCTCTGTGTGAACCCTCTGTTCCAGGGCGGCTGCTTTTCTCATTAAACTCTGTGAACAAATGTTCAGTCTAGGCCCCATGACTTTGTTTACATAGAGTTTCCATTGCTCAAATTATTTAAATCTTACCAATTGTCAAAGCCCAGTTCAAGGTCCCTTTCTCTCCAGTCTTCCCACCCTCGCAGCCCACGTGCCTCTCTTCCTTTTCTGATTTCTTCTCTGTGCCCCTTATGTCCACATACAGTGACATCCAGTCTTGGGAGAATTAACTTTTTTGTCTCTCCCTCAACAGTGCTAGGCATTTAACAGAATAGACCCTGAATAACACTATAAAATGGAAATCATTTGCCTTTATTAATTCAATCTCAAAACATTTTTTTAAGGTCCTTATGAAAACCGTACTGTCTATGAGACTTTGGACATTGGCTGGCAACTGCTCCGAATCTTCCCCAAAGAAATGCTAAAGAGAATCCCTCAGAGCACCCTGAGCGAGTTTTACCCTCGAGACTCAGCCAAGCATTAGCTGCTCCTTCATCACCGGCTCTGTCCTCGTGTGAAATACTGGTTCTGTTTTTGTTCCTTTGCACTCCCTCATCCCCACCTTTGTGTTGGAGTTTACCATGCTACCCCGTGATTAAAACGAAGAATAGGTAATGTATTGTGCCAGTGTTCAAACGTTTTAAACTGATAACAGACTTTAAAATATCCTCTGTTCGGAAAGCCTGGGTCTTCAGGGTTTTGTTTAAAATAGCCACACAGATGAAGGTGAAGTTTTCTTACTGATGTGGGTATTTGTACATAGTGATGTAGTTACTTGCCTAATAATGTCCTCATTATTTGAGTCTCCTCGACCTCATCTCTGAACCCCTTCCAGAGTATCGCTATCTGAATTTATAATGCTTTGGCCTCCAAGTCAGGGCCAAGAGCAGCTCTGAAAGGATCCTCCTGCTTTACGAGGCTCTTGGCTGAGCATTTGCTCTCAGATTGGTGGTGTGCCTGTAGGTCTGAGCAGCTGCCCTACGTGGATGGCTTTCACTGTCCGCTTGCTCTTTCTTCTCAGTGAATAGATGAGCAAAAGTAGTTTTCATTTTCCTTGAAACCTTAGTATGTGTTGAGTTGGGACTCTTGCATCTTAACAGTTGTCCCTCAGGAACACAGACTCATGCAACCTGGGCCCAGCTGGCACGTCTCGTAGTAGTGAGATGCCTCGTCCGGATGAGCCTGACTGGCTTCCTAAGCAGAGGAATCATACAGTTAAAATAACTACAGGACTGTTGCTTGGAAGAGTTGAAGTAGGATAAAAAGAAGAAAGCAAAACATAGTCCCAGTCTGTGTTCTGTCTGCACTTGCACTTGCAACAGTGGTACTAGATGCAGAAAGCAGGGTGGGGAGAAGGAAGGTGACACTTATAACTTTTATGGATATTTTAAACTCTGTTAGAGAGCAGCCTTTGGGTTTCCCCTATTTGTTCCCGCTTTTGGACCTGTCTGCCTTTTCAGGGTAATCTTGTGGCACAAGTGATAGCATTTAAAAGTGTTAGTTAAGTCTAATTCTTGCTCCTCCTTCATGTTAGCCCTGAAGCGATCTTCTGTGCAGCTCTGCCGTCTACTGTGTGATCTCTTTGTGTTGTACCTTGGGTGCAATAGCAACTTCTCTACTCTGTGCATTCCATTTTTCAAGTTGTGTAAGTTCTTTACTTTTTTTCCTCTGAGGGTGTAGGGGGTGGGGGGAGGCAGCATGATAATATTTTAATGTAGAAAATGTGACATCTGAATATAAAATGAAAATAAATGTTAAATGGAAGTTACTTAAAGTGAATTTTGTATCTTCTAATCAGAAAAGCAATGACAACCAGCAAATGCATACTACATAATAATGCATCCCATTGATTCCCAATTTTGAATACCATACCAGTAGGTTGTCCAAACCCCTGTGTTAGAGCAATGTGGCCCATGTTTTATATCTTGTTCTCTTTGAGGCTTCTATCTCAGCTCTTTTTAGCAAATATCTCTTATAACATACAATTAAAATACAATTTAGTCATACAATTGAAATAACTTACAGGACTGTTTCATGGAAGATTGAGGTGGGATAAAAAGAATGCAAAACCTAGTCCCAGTCCACATTCTGATTTGCAACAGTGGTTTCAGTTTCCAAAGTGTTCACCAGATGCAGAAAGCAGGGTGGAGGAGAAAGGAGATAGAGTTCGATCCCAGGTTCGATCCCAGGATGTGAGTTACTACACATACTCCGTACTCCGTAAGTTTCTTTGTTTCACACATTTTCAGGGACCTCTAGGATCTTCCTGCCATGAATGAAAGAGAATGATAAATAGGAAATGAAATACCATTTGGAAAAATGGTTTGGAGCAAGCCAACATTTCCTTCAAACAAAGTCTTAAATAGTTGTCCAGTATATAAAATAAAGAAACTGGCTAAAGCATAGGGAAGTAGGGTCAGGGAGACCTCCTCTTCCTCTCCCTTCTTCAATCCAAGGCAACTTTGAGGAGATGTAGCAACCCAGTCACAAGATCTAGGTAGACCGAGTTCTAACTCTGGTTCTGCTACTGCTAATGGCCTTAGTCATTTTAACAAATTTTAGTCTTTTTAGTTATGTGCCTTTTCAGGTTATTATGAGGTCTAGAGTTCACAACAACAGTCTCTGGCCCATAGTAGACACTCACAGTAGACCAACCACTTTTGTTAACAAGAAGTCCTGGTGGCACAATGGTTAAGCACTCGGCTGCTAACCAGAAGGTCATTATTTTGATCCCACCAGCCACTCCACAGGAGAAAGATGTAGCAGTCTGTTTCTGTAAAGATTACAGCTTTGGGAACCCTAGAGGGCAGTTCTGTCCTATAGGGTTGCTGTTAAGTCAGAATCGACAGTAGTGGGTTTGGTTTGATTTTATTGGCAAACCTTTATTAAGGTAGATTTGATTTGTATTACACTTACATAAATTTTTATACTCATTTAGTTGTTTAACTAGCACTTGTTTGCATATTAGGCATTCAGACTAACTAGTTATTTTTTAATGAAAATATTTTTTTAGTGATCCTGTTTGTACTAGTTACAGACTTAGTTATTGGCAGTTCAGCCTCAACTCTCACTAGGATCCACTTTTTTTAAAAAAAGAAATTTTTATTATAGTTGACTAAAAGTGTTTGGGAAGAGAAAAAGTATCTTGAAAAGACAAGCTAACTCAGTGACTCATTAAACATTTATTGCTTGCAGTTTACTGTCACTTCACTCTGGGAGATTTCATGTAAGTGAAAAAATGTTTTCAGACTAAGGTAGTAAATATCTCACTAAGATGTTTTATTTTCAGCAAGTGTGGGTGGTACAAGATGTCTGAGGCCATCACAGCCTTGTCTGATAAATTGAAATTTTTTGTTACCCTAGTAAGGGAAAGTTAGCTTAATCTAGTATTAGGGTCCAAGAGAAAACAGTTGTCTAGGCTAAATTTTAGGAACTAAAATTTTAAGAACTACAAGGAAAATGAAGTAAGGCAATTCTTAAGGGAAAATATCTTTTGTGAGGAAAGTTAGATACAAGGAAATGGGTTTTAAAAAGTAAAACGATCATGTTACTTACTCTGGTACCGACTGTAATTTTATTATTCCAAACCATTTTCTCTAATTAGAGATTAAACGCTGGCCTAGCACTCAAGCAACTTCATGGTCTCCAGCGTTACCCACTTTGTCCATATGAAGCCTGGTGGTAGCAACAGTGAGATGATTGATTTTTAGGAACAATAAGAAATTCCTTCCAGTGACTAAGCAGTCATAAGAGCTTTGTGTCCTCCGCAGGAGTGACAAGACCTGCCCAGACAACTTGGTAAATGTTCTCAGTCACCCGGACCACCTATGAATTGCCAAATCATCCCTGATCACTCTACCATAGTTCCTAGTTAGTTAAAGGAAAAGAAAAACAGGTCACTGTGGCCTGTCCCTGAAACTGGAGGCCACAGATAAATAAGTTCTGGAGTTGGCCCGTCAGGTTTGTAGGAGCCTGAGGTTCCCTGCCTAGTCTAAATTAAACAGCCGCTGGCTGTGATTAGCAACTGCAAGCAGCGTACATCTGACAGACTGCTTTTCTCCAGAGCATTTTATGAATTTAATCAACTTGCAGCATTTCAGATTGCAGTACCCATGTAGTTATGAACAGATTTTTTTTTAATGAGCAGAGGTAAAATAGCTTGGTCACACAGGGAAGGGCAGAACATCAGCCTACTGGGTCTTTAAACATGGTGTAGTCCTCTTTTCCATAGCACCGAAGTTCACTCCATAAAATTGAAGTGGGGCCCACAAATTCAGACTATTCTCTAGAAACCAGGATGATCTAAAGTCCTGGTTTCTAAAGTTCCAGGAGTTTATGGAACATAATGGTACTGTAAATGTATGTGAAAGGCTCTGAAGGGCTGGGGCATGGCAGGGGTTGAGGTCTTCAGGGCTCTCACCAAAAAGTTAAGCTTTTCTTGGGGGGGGCGGTCAGAGGGGCAGACCAGGTAATAACCTCAAAATGCAGTCTTACTTTTCTAAGTAGTTATTACTTTTCATTTCCACAAGAGGGCAGCAGCTGCAGCTCTTGAACAGTCTTATTGGCTGAACCTTGAAGATCCAAAAATGGGAAACATACCTGCTGGTATGGGAAGGGAATCAAATGGTGCATTTTTGGAGCTGCACATTAGCTGAGAAGCTAAAAGGGAACATGCTCTAATAAAAACCAAAACAGACCAAAAACTGGTACAAAGAGCCCTGGACTGAGGCATCGGGAGATGTGGGTAAGAGACGATAAAAATAATCTGGTCCTGCTATCTCCTGATGATGACTTTTTAAGTCTCTAAGCCTGTGAGATCCAGCTGTGGTGAATGTGAAGCTGCCTCATTCCACACTTCTGATGTTTGGAGCATTCTTCCCAAATCAGGGTAAAACTTAACTTCCCTATAAAGTCACATACTAGTGTTCTCAGCCTAAGCTCTTCCGTGTGATAACCCTCCATCACTTTGAAGACAGCACGTTTTGTATATCTTTTTCAAGGTAAATATTTCTAGTTCCCTCAGCCAGGCAACATTTTATGAGTTAACAGAATTATTCACCTATTCAATAACTGAACGGGTTTCAGACTCGGAGCTCTCACTATACATATACCAAATGTATAGGAATATTCACATTTCTGATTTCCCTTCTAATAATCTTAGCTTTATGCACACTATAGAAGAAGCGTTTCTACTCCAAAACTTAAAGGTCACCCCATGGGAATCAAGGCTGCTCCTAAGCTGATAGCTGGAACTGGAGCCACGGCAGCATTGAGCACGGCCTTAGGAATCAGTTCTCAATGACCCAGGACTCTGGTCTGTGCTTAGCTTACTGGAATCCTCTGCACACTCTGTTCTGTCCTCTGGTTCTACTTTTCTCCAGGATCTCTTCAGGTTCAGTGGCACCCAGGTGTAACCCTTCCACCAGGGAAGTTTTATTATTGTTTTACTTTTATGATCTATATAGATATTCATTGTAGAAGACT